TGTGTACCATATTTGTACTGTACTTCCTTTTACCGAAAGGTTCTGTACAAATACGTACCATTATAGCACTATTGACAATGACTTTACAATCACTGGTTCACAGTGTTAGGCATTATACACGTGCAATACACAAATATATTCCTAAGACAGATTTCCTAGATATTTTAGGGAAGGAGTGACAAAAACCACATAACTAGAATCTTTAAACTAGAAACTATTTTCTCTTCATGTAGAAACGGAATGTACAGTGTTAATCAAACACGTAATTTGAAAACTCCCATATGAATAAAACTATTTTGGACACACCTGAATATTTCTGTAACTCCATGTCACAACTTAATGTTCCACGTTAAAGGAAGCACAGACACTCCTCACTGAAAGAACTATAAAGTTCACCATAATTAAGGCTTTTGCTGTTCTTTACAACAGCAGCTTGTTTTCCATGACACCAACACTACCTTCTGCTTTTGTTGCGTGATGACAAGGGAGTGTCAACGCTGTGGCCAAACCAGTTTACTATTCCATCAATAAAGACTGTCTCCATCCTTCATCTAGGTTGGTTGTTGACCGTATTTCTCAAAACTTTCTTCTCTCATTTATAACAAACCCCTGGCTGTGGTGTTGTCCAAACACTTACTCAGAGACCTTCGTTCTATGTGTGTTAAAGTAAATACCTACTGGTACTGCTCTGTGTGGAGTGTGACTTCAGACTGAACACACCCTTCATGCAACGGAGTATGATGTGACTGCATGCAGAGGACTCAGCCTACTCCTTTAGCACAGAGACTAAAGTTGCCTCCAGCAAAATGCTAAACATTCCCCACTGCTGTGAGGTTACTCGGACGCACGCAAGAGTCCGCCCTCATTAGGTCACACAGCTGTCAGGGCAGTGCCAGACACTGACTTGATGGAACATGGTAAAATGTGCCTTCATTTTTTTACTCAGTTGCTACAGTTTCCTTGTGTATGTTGATTAGTTACCCTGACTTCGGATTTAAAGACAAAAACAAAAACATGTCTCATGGAGACGGTAACATTTTTTTTTATAAATGTTAATGATAATTGTTGACAATTAAGTTTTTATAGTGTCAAAGTGTTTTTTGTTAGTTTTTTTATACTGTTAACGCTGATTGGTAATAGCAGTGGATGCCCATCATAATATCAGGACATTTTAATCAAAAAAATGTTTTACTGCAAAATGTATATTTCAGCCTTTTTAAAGCAAGCATAAGTCATTCTTAACAAATGAACAGATTCATGTGTGGTTATAGGTGGAGACTCATTGAAAGTTGAATGTTTACAGGCTACTTTAATGTACTGTAAATTCTATCACAACCTTACTGTCATCATATTACTAGTCGTTATTTACACATGTCGAGTTATTTACACATGTTTACTGTAACAATCATATTACTAGTCGAGTTATTTACACATGTTTACTGTATCTAAAGTCTCTCAAAGTGTATTATATAAGATGTTTGCACAAAGTACAACTAAAAAAGACAACACTAAGTTGGTCTTTGCTTTTAACTGCTTTATCTTGAAGCACTCACTCCACCGCAACAAAGTGTGTAATTCCTTTTTTTTTTTTTTTTGCATATTTAACATTTGCATAGTTAACACTCTGGTCTACTTCTCATTTCGTTCACTGATGTGAATCAATATAAAATGTTTTCAAACTGCAGCCAGTGTAGACAAGGACCTAAGAGAATGTAGCCACATAAAGCTGTCGAAGGCTGAGATCTGCTTTTCCTCATATTTCTGCAGGCAAACATTTTTTTAGTAAGAGTGAGCTGAAGAAATGTGTCAAGCTGGGGAGTTTTTTTTCACAACAGCAACTTTTACACAAAAATAAACCCTGCGAATCTAAGAAGCAATTCTGAACCACATTTATCCATCTACCTCTGCTCCGGGGTAAGGCATGATCCTGCGAGATCAATATTGCATTTGACTAGCTAAGTGATGCAATTGGTCAACGGGCTGCCTACGTGACTTCAGCAGCTGGTGTCAGATATCTGACACACAGCAAACCTCCAGTCATACTTACACATGAGTGTGCTGAAAGCCATCACAGCAAGAAGTCCTTGCAGGAAAATCCCAAAGGAGTCCATCAGTGCACCATTCTCACAGCCCCGAGTGTCCGTACCTGGTGTTGGGCTGGAGGATATTGATGTGTTTGTAATGGGCACAGCAGGCTGTCCTGCTCCTACTGGACGTGTCATTGCCACGTCTCTCAGTTGGGACTGCATGTCAACCACAGTGACAGAGAACAGAGGAGCTGGTAGAGGGGAATAAACAAAGCCAGTACAGTAGCTTCTCACTGGGACTCTGTGTAAGCTTCCCAGTCGATGGTCAGCTAATAGGTATGTTGAATGTGACCGTGTGCAAGGGGAAAAGGTGGTGTCTTCTCCATCGCAGGTGTGCTGTCATTCTTCTGCTTCACACATCCATGAAGTCATGGTGAAGTAAAGGAGTGACGCAGTCTCCCAACTGATGAACTAGTGTGGGTGGGAAAAAAATACTGTTATATTAATCAGTATACTGAACTGTGGAAAAAAAAAATACTGTTATATTAATCAGTATCTCCAATATATTAATATCAATTAGTGCTGTACTGAAGCTAAAATGGCTACTTGTCAAAAACAGCTCAATTAATCTTTTTTTTTAAAAACAGTTCTACATCACCTAATAGCAGGTTACAAGCACAGGTCCAAGTGTATTCGTGGATTTGTGAAACTTACTCACATACTTTATTATTTCCTGTGTCAGTCTGCTGCAGCAAATGCCAAAGCAAATTCCTCGTAGTTACAAACTGATTCTGTTGCTGACTGTACTTCCTGTTATCAGGTATCACTGATCTTCATCTTCAGCTAATATATCTTATTGTCTGAACTACAGTATTCCAATGAAAAACTGACAAATAAAATATTAGTGAATCCCTGAATGTTTGGAAGATGCTTTCCTTTAATGTGTGAATTGCAGTAAAAACCCTGAAAGTAAACAACCAGTAAAACATGTACACAATTATTAATTGAAATACTAGAGGAAATATGAGGTTATGTGGACTTCCATCATTTTAACAAAATATACTTTTGCATTCTCGTGCATGCAAATGCAACTAAAACCACATTTCTGCTAAAAATGACGGAAACAGTGCACGTATTTACTTTCGCATTCCGGCTCCAGTACATCCTACTACAGTACATTCTATGTGTACTGCTTGGAAGTCAACGAATAAAACAGCCATTCAATATCAATTTAACTTCTTTAACATTTTACAGACAGAATAAATCACTGCTTTTACACTACTGGCCAGAGAGAAAGTCAGTTTTACAGTCATTATTCGGCCATAAAGAAAATTACACAACTATTGATAAAAAAATAGCCACTAAACCAGTCGTATCATCACCTACCTTAGCTTAGCATTCAAGCTAACTCCTCAGTGACATGACGTTAGTGGCGCAAAAACGGCCCAAAATTGGTAAACTTGTGTTTACAGAAACGGTGAGAAGCAAACACTAAACCGGCCACTAAAGGCCTTTTCTCCCGCTTCTGCTACTCCTCCGCCGGGAAGACAGAACGGTAAGAAGAAGATGGAAAACGACAGGTCGTATGTCCACCTCCAGCTGCTGGTTCCCAAACCATCCAGAGCCTACACTGCCCACTCATGTTGACAGAACGAGTCACGTGATCGGCGCTAGGACGAAATGCATGCTGG